TATATTTATATATTTATATATTTAATATTGAAAAATATAGTGAAAATTCTTGATTTAAAGTTTTTATAATAGATTATGATATTTTTAGTGAATTTAAATTAAAAAATAAAAGCTAGATATAGTTTTAGTTATATTATTTTTATTTTTATATTTAAATTTAAATTTAAATTTAAAAGAAAAATAGTTTTTTTACCCACCCACAATCGCCCGCAAACGCAAACGCTAGCTGAAACCAGCTTTTGATTTTAAGAGGTTGAGAGCGGTTTGAAGCGATTTGTAGCGATTTTTGTGATTGTTGCAAAACGCTAGCAACCGCCATCAACCGCAAAAGCTGCGTTTGCGGGTGGTAGCGGGGAAACCAGTCGGACCCTAAATAAATCAAAACTAGTCTTTTCACATGTTTATTTCGATTTTTAAAATAAATAATTTTTATTTTTCTTTTTTTTTTGTAACAAGAATAAACTAAAACTAGTTTTTCACATGTTTATTTACATTTTTAATAAAAATAATTATTTATTAATAATAGTCCTTGAAACTATGCTTAGCTTCAATCTTAACTAGCTTTTGACCCGCGCGTCCGCACGGATTTATGTTCTATATAAATATATATATTTATATTAGTTGTAAAAAGTATTTATATTTATATTTCATAGGTTATTGGGTTATGATGTCGGTGTATCTTGTTCATTTTGTTTGGCATCTTTTTTCTAACTATCAAGTTGTAATAATTTTTTGATATATAATTTTTTTTACTTAGTAAACTAAACAATTAAGTATAAAATATTAAAGTATCTTGTTAAGATTGTTTGTAATTTATTAAATTATACTATAATTTTTGTGATTGCAATTATAATTTAAAATTATATTTTATATTTATTTATTTTAAAAATAAATTATTTAGAAAGCAAAAAAAAAGAGTTTTAGCAATTTTATTAACAAAGATCATTTTTAAAATTGAATTGGGCTGTTTGGTTTTGGGCAATTTTGTTTTGATTTAAATTGATTGGACCTTAAACTTATATTGAAGCTCATATAGGAGTAAAACTACAGTGTTTTAATTGCAGTGGCATTCTATTGTAATTTTTGAAGAAAAATAAGGGTTATTTCTATTTTGTACTTCTCCTTTAATAGTTTAGATAGTAGGTCTGGGCATTCGGATATTCGGTTCGGTTCCGGGTATATCAGATAAATCATTCTTATACCCAATAGATACTTATGAGATTTCGGTTCAGTTTCGGTTCAGTTCGTTTCCAGTTTGGTTTTGGTTCGGTTCCGGGTACCCATTTAATATATAAATCAAATATATATAAACATAATCTATTAATTAATATGTTAATTTAAATAGTCTAGTGTTTACACGCTTACATATTAGTCAATCAAACAAGAGTTCGCATCAATAAAATGTTAATTTTATAAATATTTATCATATTTTAATATAGAAATACTACATATATTTATAATATAACAGAATAAATAAAACATAACGTAATCTGGTGGTAAAAATGTAATTACTCTTTGTATCTAACATGGGTTCAAGTAGGCTTGATGTCATTTTATCTTATTTAAAAAAAAATTAACTTGTTTTTTCGGATATTCGGGTACCCATTCGGTTCTCGGTTCGGTTCCGGTTCGATTTTTTGGGTATAGAAATATAGGAACCATTAGAATATTTAAGCATTTCGGTCTGGTTTTGGTTTCGGGTATTTCGGTTCCCCTTTTTTTTGCCCAGGCCTACTTAGTAGGATTAGTTTATGAGTAATCCTTAAAACTATGCTTATCGGTCACCTCTGGTTTTGAATAAACATGGTAATATGTAATCTAGAACAGGAAGATAGTAGAATCAATGAGCCTCCTAATTTAACAGAGTCAATTGCCTTGAGGACACTTTAGCACAGTCAAAAGAAGGGTTTCCACAAGGTTAGCAACTAAACAAAAGGGTTTTCACACCCAAAAAACGCAGGACATGTAATGATGAGATATGGTAGACATTTGTAGAAAATCAATTCGGTCCATTATAATTTTTCGAGATTAAATAATAGAGAGAGAGAGGTGCAAATAATTTGCGAAAAAAAAAGAAACTCAAAATGATTCAAATAAATCCCTAGCCGTCCGATCACAAGAGATGGTGATCATATTCATCGCGTGGAACTTTACCCCGTCCTTTGCCTAAACCGGATAGTACCAGATTCCTCTCCTTCTCCACTTTCTTTCTTCTCTCTCTCTGCTGCTTTAGAGGTTTCGGTTCGTTTAGCCCAATTTGATTGGACGTGTTTGTAATCTAAAAGTTTTAAAAGGTCGAATCTTCCATGGCGTTATCAGCTAAACCTTCGAGCTTTGGTGTTGTAGCTGATTGATCAACCATGGTTGTATGATTCCTACGTCCCTAATCTCGTTGATTCTTCTCTCTACAGCTCCAGATTTTGTTTGTGTGGTTCAGATTCGCTTAGCTAAATTTTTGCTGGATCGAGAATCAGAGAGTTCATTCTGGGTTTTTTGTTTTCTTAGAAGGTTGCGGATTTCTCAGGCAGGGATTTGAGAATTTTAGGGTTTCATGATTCTTGATCATCCCAAATTGGTATTGGATATCTTAGGGTTGGTTTCATGATTCTTGATCATCCCAATCTCTATCTGTAATTAGCTTCTTCTTCGTACAAAGACTCGCTTTCTTCATTTTGTCAATTGAATCTGAGAATTGACCAGCTCTCTCACGCCTGTTAATTGCTTCCACGGTACATATCTCCTCATCTGATTTTGTTTCTGTTTGGATTTTGAATTCAGGATTGAATTAATTCGTTTTCCATGATAAAGCTCGAACCTTTTTTACTTCTCCATTTTGTTAATTCACTTGTGCTTTGTGTTCTTGTTCAATTGTGGACACAAATAACAAAATCATTGTATGTTCTTGTGTTGTTTTTTTTCTTTAAAGCTCAAAGATATACAATACAGAATCTACTTTCAGATAACTACACAGTGTCATGGAATTGAGGCAAATCATCTGGGATCTAATCATATCCCTTTCAAATTGTTATTGTCTTGATTGCATGATTGTCTGAGATTGGTATCTCATCATTGTTTCTAAATTTATTCCTGTTTAATGGTTTTAAATTTTTTATTTGGTATTTATTGTATGTCTAGGTTGCTTAAGGTTGAATACTGTGTGTCTCCCTGCAATGAAAGCTAGACAAGTTTTAAGTAAAGAGGCTAATGCTTATATTGGGTCATTGTTTCTCTTCCATGCAGGACACTAAAGATCCCACGGAGTAGACTTTGTTTACCACAAGTGAAAGGAATAGCCTTCTTGTTTTTGTTTATTGATGGGTGAAGAGTTAGCTGACACTATGAACCTGGATTTGAATCTAGGCCCTGATCCTGAGTCTTCAGATCTCCAGCAGGCGCTAAATGAAACTGTGAATTTGGCTGATTGGACTAATGAGCCACCATCTGAGAGATCCTCTGACGCTGTGACGAGGATCAGAACCCGGCACAGGACGCGGTTCAGACAACTTAATCTCCCCATCCCTGCTCTCTCTGAAACCATGGCAGCTATAGAACTGAGCCAGTTGATGGGAAGCTCTGCAAACGGTGTTGCTTTGCAGACTGGTGAGGGTAGTGAAAGAGGCAACGAGGATCTCAAAATGTGTGAGAACGGTGAGGGAGCCGTTGGGGACGGTGTCTCAGAGAAGAAAGAGGATGTGGAGAAAAGCAGTGGTGGCAGTGATGGTAACTTTTTCGATTGTAATATATGTTTGGATCTGTCAAAGGAGCCAGTTCTCACCTGTTGTGGCCATCTTTACTGTTGGTCGTGTCTGTTCCAATGGTTAAACATCTCGGAAGCAAAGGAATGTCCGGTTTGCAAAGGAGAGGTGACCTCCAAAACCGTGACACCTATATATGGGCGTGGAAACCATAAGAGAGAAGTTGAAGAGAGTTTAGATACCAAGATCCCTATGAGACCCCATGCGAGACGTGTTGAGAGTTTGAGGAGTGCTATTCAAAGGTCGCCTTTTACAATACCGATGGAAGAAATGATTAGACGTATACAGAGTAGGTTTGACAGGGACTCAACAACCCTTGTCCCTGATTTTACTAACCGGGAGGCGTCAGAGAGAGTTAATGATCGAGCCAATGCGATTCTCAACCGGTTGATGACTTCTAGAGGAGTTAGATCAGAGCAGAACCAGGCTAGTGCTGCTGTAGCTGCAGATGATATCGATCTGAGCCCGATCATTACACCTGATCTTGAAGGAGAAACCACCACTAGATTCCATCCTCTGTTAATCAGGAGACAGTTACAGTCACACCGAGTTGCAAGGATCTCGAATTTTACCTCTGCATTGAGTTCGGCTGAGAGGCTTGTAGATGCATATTTTAGAACACATCCATTGGGGAGGAACCACCACCAAGAGCTACACCATCATGCTCCTGTTGTGGTTGATGATAGAGACTCTTTCTCAAGCATTGCAGCTGTTATAAACTCTGAGAGTCAAGTGGATACTGCAGTTGAGATTGATTCCATGGTCACTCTTTCGACATCTTCGTCGAGGAGAAGGAATGAGAATGGGTCGAGGGTTTCTGATGTAGACAGTGCGGATTCTCGCCCTCCTAGGAGAAGGAGGTTTACTTGAAACAAGTAAAAGAAAAAGCTTTGCATCTTGTGGAAGATGATGGTGAGAAAGAAGAAGAAGATTGTAACTGTGTTTTTTCTTTTGTTGCTTGTTGGTTTGTTGTATCTTGATTTGTAATTTCCAAAATTGGGATGGTAATTTTAATCAAAGTTTCTATTCTGATTGAAACTAATAATAGTTTCTTAATCCATTGTACAATGGTATTGTTTATAGCTTCTGTTCAAAGTTTAATTTAATTTTCTTGATTCAAAGTTTTTATTTAGTTTTTTTTTTTTTGATATTGAATAGATAAATAGCGACATTCGGCACGTAAATTATGTTGGTGAATTATATAATTTCATAGGTTCTTCTTTCAATGATTTCACTTCTGATTAGAACAAAAATCTTAAGTTTCTATTATGATATTCTATTTTCTTGGCAATAAAATAATCATCGCATAAATAGGGGGATTAAAATTAAACCCTACAAAACGGACATCTTCAAACCATTTCCAGGCTTTCAGGATTCATAATTGAAAAAACCATTGCACCTTGGAGCTTATATAATAGCTTACTAGGTGTTTTGTCCGGACTTGCGGGCATAATTTTCTTATGAATATTTATTAGTTGATGTTTCATTACTTTAAAAATCAGTATAATAAGTTATTATTTATATTTTCAAAAAGTAAAAATCAAAAATCAAATAATTATCAATGACAAAACTCAAATAACAAAAATATTTAAAAGAATATATTTCAATAATTATTTTTCTTGATTTATATTTAATTATAATATTTATATCTTAATTTTAATTTTTATAATAGAAAAACATAATTTAAATATAACAATATAATGCATAAGTTATTTATTTCTAAAAGTATAATATGATAAGTGTTTTAATTATATAATAATTATATAAGATTATAGAAAATATGACATATAATTAAAATTATCTAAAATTATGGAGAATTTAATGAATCAGCAAATTCACTTCTTAAATATTTTTTCTTGAGTGATGATTTATACTTAATTAATAATAGATAAATTTTTATTTTAATTTTAAATTGTATAATTCAAAAATATTTTTTCAAGATAATAACATAATTATAAGTGTAAATTTATTCCAGTTATAGAATAAGTACAACTTTTTATATCTTAATTTTAAATTTCTAATAGAAAAATAATCTGATACTATTAATATAATTTTTTTTAAAATATATAATAAATTATATATAAAATTATATAAGTTATGATAAATTATCAAAATTACCTAAATCATGAAAAAGATGACAAATCATCAAACATTAAATTCCTTCTTAAATAATAGTATAGATTTTTTACATGTTAATTTTAAATTTTATAATAGATAATATATTTTCAAGATAACAACATAATACATAAGAATTAACTTACTTTCTAAAATATCATATTATTAATATAAATAGTTTAAATTATATAATAAATAATAAACAAAATTATAGAAATTCTGATAAATGATCAAAATTACCCAAGATCATGGAGACAAATCAACAAATTCACTTTTCAAATAATTATTTTGATGATTTATGTTTAATTATGATTTATATTTAATTGTTAATAATATAATTTTTATATCTTAATTTTAAGCTTTATAATAGGAAAATAAATTTTCAACATAACAACATAATACATAATAATTATCTTATTTTAGAAATATTAAATTATTAATATAACTTCGTTTCGTTTTATTTAAATATTAAATTATTAATATAAATTCATTTTAGATAAATGTAATAGTTTTTATATCTTAATTTAAAATTTAAGTTTTATATATAAAGATATATTTCAAGATAACAACATGATATATTCATATACATTCGTTTTGTTTATAAATAAAAAATATATATAAATATTAAAAATACCATAAACAAATAAAAATACCTAAACTTATGGAGAACATGACAACTAAGCAAATTTACTTCTCAAATAATGTTATAGATTTAAATATTAAATTATTTATATAAATTCGTTTTAGATAAATATAATAGTTTTTATATCTTAATTTAAAATTTAAGTTTTATATATAAAAATATATTTCAAGATAACAACATGATATATTCATATAAATTCGTTTTGTTTATAAATAAAAAATATATATAAATATTAAAAATACCATAAACAAATAAAATTACCTAAACTTATGGAGAACATGACAACTAAGCAAATTTATTTCTCATATAATGTTATAGATATAATGATCTGTTTAATTGAAAAATGATTGACAAATTCTAAATAGTAAATCACAACATGTCTAAACTTCGTGAACAAAATTACGTCAACGGCATTTTTTTCGTGTATATTAATAGAGAGCGGAAGCTATAAACCTAACTTGAAGGTGAAGTAGCAATAGAAAGAGGCGCGAATACTCTTCACAGTATTCGTTAGAACTCTTTTAGGGTTGCGAATACTCTTCACAATGCTTATAAAAGCTCTAAAGAAAACTCAAATCTTATTAAAATCAAAGGTGCCTTACAAACGTAATCAAAGCCCTGATTTATACTAAGTTCATATTCCTTTTGCGTTAGCTAAAGGGTATATGATTATCCTAAACTTAAAAGGAAAACCGACATAATGGAAACATCAATTAAAAACAGAAATAAGAATGCTAAGGGAAAATAGGAAAGAGATGTCTACGCTGCATCAGGTCTCCCCGGATGAGAAGGATTCGTCCACGAATTTGGATCGTCATTGTCACCTTTGAAAGGCGATAAATGCTTGATGTTGAAGACGTCTGATGTACGAAGGTGAGAAGGCAACTTGAGACGATACGCATTTGGATTGATGCGTTCTAACACTTCAACTGGACCAATTTTCTTGGATTTCAGTTTGTTATAATCACGCAATGGAAGTCGGTCTTTAGTCAAGTATACCCAGACTAAATCACGGGGCGCGAAGATTAATTCACGTCGCTTGGTGTCTGCTGCAAGTTTGTATTTTGTTGTAGAGGCTTCCAGCTGAGACTGTGTGAGCTGATGGACATCCTGAATATTGGAAATAAAATCAATCGCCTCGCCATGGTGTCGTGTCTTTTCCGGAGCAGTCGCTAAATCCAATGGACCACGCGGGACTAGACCATACACAATACGGAACAAGCCTGTACTGCGATTCACGCCATGATTATGCGCAAACTCAACTTGACCAAGCTTAGTCCCATGATTTGATGTTATCGACCACGAGGCAACGTAGTAAATTTCCCAATGATCAATTCACAACCTCCGTTTGACCATCCGTCTGTGGGTGATATGCAGAACTTATGTCAAGTGACGTACCTAACAACCTCCAAAGGGAACGTCAGAAGTGACTAAGAAACCGTGTGTCACGATCGGAAACGATAGAAGTCGGCAGACCATGCAATCGGTATATTTCGCGGAAGAACAAAGTAGCAACACTAACGGCGTCGGTAGTCTTCTTGCAAGCTACAAAGTGCACCATCTTGGAAAAACGATCAACAACGACAAATATAGAATCAAATTCCCTCTGTGTGCGAGGTAGTCCCAAAACAAAATTCATACTAACGTCGGACCACGGCTGTGTAGGAATGGGTAGCGGCAGATATAACCCGGCATTTGAAGCTTTCCCTTTAGCTACTTGGCAGATACGAAAACGCTCGACGAAGCTTTCCACATCTCGCCGCAAAGTAGGCCAAAAATAAGACTCCCTAGCCAACTGCAATGTGCGATCCCTACCTACATGGCCTTCGTTATGTAATTCATTGACTATCTTCAATCTCAAGCTGCAGTCCGGAACACAAAGACATAATCCTTTGAAAAGAAATCCGTCCTGGACTGTGTAGTCGCAACGTTGGTGATGTTCTGCTTCGTTGTAAATGCGAGCAAAGAACGGATCCGTTGGATACATATCCATGAATGACGCAAACCCAAGAACTGTCGAGTGCATTGTGGTCAATAAACCATGACGTCGACTAAGAACATCAGCCACACGGTTGGTCTTTCCGGATTGATGTTTGATAACAAAGGTGAACTGTTGTAAATATGAAATCCATGCTGCATGGCGCGCAGAGACTTTTGCTTGACTGTCCAGATGGCGTAAAGCGTCATGGTTTCTAAAAAGAACGAACTCGCGATGAACTAAGTAGTGGTGCCAATGTTTAATTGCCTGAACAATAGCATAAAATTCCACATCGTAAGTGCTGTAGCGTCCTCGTGCACCTGCCAATTTCTCGCTAAAGAACGCGACCGGACGGCCTTGTTGACTTAATACGCCACCGATACCTAACTTGGAAGCATCACAATGTAACTCAAATGGTAAGGAGAAGTCAGGAATGATAAGGATCGGAGCAGAAGTAAGCTTCTTTTTGATTAAATCAAACGCTTGTGTAGCTTCACTTGTCCACTCAAACTTTCCTTCATGCATGCAAGTTGTTATTGGTGCCATAACGGTGCTGAAGTGGTCCACAAAACGACGATAAAAAGAAGCGAGACCATGAAAACTTCGGACTTCTGATACTGTCTTTGGTATCAGCCAAGACCTAATTTCCTCAACCTTTGAATCGTCGACAGACAACCCACGATCAGAAACGACGTACTCAAGAAAAATGACTTTAGAAACGCCAAATTCACATTTTTGCTTGGCGGCAAACAAATTCTCCGAACGCAGCACAACAAGTACTTTACCAAGATGCTCGACGTGCTCAGACAGAGACGAGCTAAAAATTAGTATATCATCAAAATATACTACGACATATCTTCCAATAAATGGTCGGAGAGCTTGGTTCATAATTCGCATGAACGTGCTAGGCACGTTGGAAAGGCCGAAGGGCATAACCAGCCATTCAAAAAGTCCTTTCCTGGTTTTGAAAGCTGTTTTCCACTCATCTCCGGGTCGTATACGGATTTGATGATAACCACTCTTGAGATCAATCTTCGAAAAATATTTAGCTGAACCAATTTGATCCAAAAGATTGTCTAAGCGGGGAATCGGAAAGCGATACCTGATGGTGATTTTATTGATTGCGCAGCTGTCAACACACATGCGCCAAGACCCATCTTTTTTTGGGATTAGGAGAGATGGGACTGCGCATGGACTGAGACTTTCTTTAATGTGGCCTTTGCGAAAAGGATCTCCGACCTGGCGACGCAACTCTTCATGTTCAAGTGGAATCATACGATAGTGCGGTCTGTTAGGTAATGTTGCGCCTGGGATCAAATCAATTTGGTGTTGGATGTCTCTGA